TTTATGGAGATAAAATTTTAGACGATCACAAAGGAGACGGAAAATCGTGGGCCAAAAATGTAATAACTTGGAATGTAGTCTAAAAAATTGCTCTCTTAAAGAGATTGTAACATAACCTAACTTTTACTAAATCTTTATTAACTCTGCTCTCAGATTGAGAAAACTTTTATAATTTCCAGCAAGGTACTGATAAATCTGAATCTATTAATTCATATTAGTTTCATCACGTTACATTCGGGCCCAAAAATGTATGTAATCGTTTCAGTCTCCTTTAGGTTGTAAGTGAATACATTTTTCAGGCAACAAGCTTTCTACGAAGATATTAGGTCTGTGGTTTCGCGAGAACTCATTAAATTCGTAATCCTTTTACTGATAATTTTCACGGATAAATCTTTCAGCACGCACTGCTTAGAATCGTCCCTGAGTCACCCCTTTTAGGAACACAGTCCGGAAATAAACCACAGAGTGCGGCCCAGATTGAGAATCAACGGAATCTCTGTACTCGGTATTGCACCCTCGGGCATCAGGCCAATAATACTCACCCCGTTTCAGGACTTTGACACGTTCGAAGAAACAACTTGAACGTTTGCTGTTCGATCTTACCTCTATACTAATATTATAAAGAGGAAAGATTTGTTTGTTTGTTTGTTTCGAATAGGCTCCGAAACTACTGGACCGATTTGAAAAATTATTTTTCCATTAGAAGCCGACATTGTCCCTGATGAACATAGGCTACTTTTTTAATTTTTTTTTGTTGTTTCATGTGTGTTTTAATGTTTTCGAAGCGAAGCGAGGGCGGGTCGCTAGTACATAATATATAACAACGATTTTGATTTGAAACAGAAATATCCATTCCATTGATTTCACCAGCGCCCGTCCAGTGATTATAAAGTTCTGATAACGGTAAATTATTTTGGCTACAGAGAGAGCACTTTGCATATTTTGGTGATAACTTGGCGTGCCATATATTTAAATTTTTTAAGACGGGATACTATGGTTTCGCTATTATGGTATTTTCGTTACTATCGCGACGGCCAGCAGAGTCTATCGAGAAACTTGTTGTTCAGGCTAGGGTCAATGGTAAGAGATCTCGTGGACGAATCTTCTTGCGCGATACCATACGATACTATAACAAGTGCGTGCGCCAAGCGTCAGTTCGCAATCTATGGAAAACATCTGTCAAGGCTTTAACAAACAAGAATTCCACATGGCCACGACTGCTCTGCTAAGAGCAGCCGACTATGATGATGACTATAGTTTAAAAATATGTCGGAGACAGTCATTAGTTTGGTAGCTAAACGAAACGCAGCACGATTCTCGAGAGATGGTAACACGATTGCGGTATCGTCGGAACTCGGCTAACTTCGTCGTACGACAGAGCCTAGCCGATGGAGGCGCGTAGACGCCATGACACTTACCAACCAGCCTCCTTGAAGAGCGGTGCCTCCGTCCTAAGAACTGTCATTCGTTTTCGTTTGCTAACGTCAAGAGAACATTTAAAATTGTTGTAGGAAAACAAACGTGATTGGTGTACTCAATATTTCTCTTAGCTCGATCACCTTATTCGCCCCTACGATATCTGACGATGGTGTTAAGAATTGTGGCTTCTCCGACAAATATAAATAAAGTGTTGTCCTTACCGTTATTGATCTGTACTATTTAAACCCAAAAAATATATGTTTCATCAGCTTCGCGAATTATTCGTGAACCCGTTACACGTAGTTGCGATTTCGTCAGACATTCTTAGAACTTGTAGACCATCACATTAATAATTCAAAGTCAGCAACATTTCTAGTGAAAATGTAACTTTTGAATATATTTTTTCGCCAGTGACACAGATCCACTCGTCAGGGAGACACCATCTTAATTACGGGGCGTGTTTTTTCGCGCTCGCAATGAGGCCATACCCCACATCTGTCGGTCGATTACCGACACAACATTACGCTTTAACGTTGCGAATCATTATGCAATGTGATTTAAACTTTACTTACCGATGGAAATATGGTAAAAAATTGAATAACCCCTCTATCGAATTCGCGGCTTTTCATGTTTACGTAGATCCGCGAAGGTTATACGCAATCTTAGATTGTTTTTCTGTTGCGGTTTTGATTTTCTTGACCCGGTTTCTCTGTTAAAATAAACTCTCGTAATAGATTAATTGGACACGCGGGAATTTCTTAATTTACAACCGCGTAATAATTGTCATTCGGAGAAATTGCGTTCTAAAAATCCGATTTCGGCATATGTTGTTCTGTGAAAAGTATTATTTGAAAAAAGCAATGATCAAAATGCAAGTCTGCTCTAGACTCGAAAGTGATGAAGCGAGACAAAACAGCAGAAGTGCGGCAAATGAGAGTGTTTACCTCCGGAACAACTTTCTAAACAATTTCATAACTAAACTAGAAAACGGAAACAATTAGTAAAGTTGCGTGTGAATAGATTTGTTATTGCGGTTTTGCATGTCATTTCCTACTTTTGAAGGGCACCTAGTTAACTGTAAGTAGTTCTGTTTGTAGTAATGGTAAAAAACTGTACGATCCATTAAACAGCATTTTAGTTAAATTAATTGCCCGCGTCAATTAATAGGTGTCATACTATAAAAAATAAATTGTGCCTTAAGGTCGAGATTTCTACCGCAAGTGTGAAGCGACCTTAAGTAAAATCAAAACGAAACCTCTCGAATGACATCAACCAAAAAACACATTATCTAAAGTGAAGAAGAGAATTGTATCATTGGCTCAGAAGAATCATTAACTTAGATAATAATCATTTTAAAAGAAAAATCTAGCACATTTCTTAGACACAAGTATCTATGGCTTAATAGTTTATATGCTTCTGGTAAAACCTACTGCATTTATTGTACCTATGCACATCTAGTTTTCAGTCTTCAAGATGAGCAGCTGGCTTAAACAAAACTGTCGCCAATGTCATTAATAATGTCAACATGTTACCTTCGGTGAACAAGCGTAAATACATTGTCACTTTACTACTTACAAGAAAAAAAGAAACGATATTTACCAATTAAAGTAAAAAAATATATATTATAAATATGAAGTAAAACATGTGTTACAAGCCCTAAGAATCCATCTTTTATTGAGTACTTCGCGAAATCGGGCTTATACTGGAAGACATTAAAATAAAAAACTAAAACTTTTACCAGTAACGAATGTGTAACATTGATGGAGGCATTAAAATTAACTGAATAAAGAACCAGTTAGTTTAGTAAACGTGAAACCGTTATGCGCGTGCTCTTAACCCAGATAAAGTTGCACGCACTGTTGTATTGTTGCGTTCCGTTCGCAGCGGCGGCGTCATTGCGAAGGTCGTTCGATGCCGTAATCACGTTTTCAATTAAAATAAATAATTGAAGATATGCAGATTTCAAGAGATGCGACTATATAGCTGTACCCGTCCGCTTCGCTGGGCATTTAAAATTAACATTATCATTTCTCACCCTCACAAAGATTCTCATCATTAACTCCCCCGCAACTGGTGTATGGAGTCTAACACTCATATAAATATTAGCCTATCCATTAAGTAAATTGTATTTTATACATGGATACCAAGTTTCAAGTCAATCGGATGCATGGTTCAGTAGTTACAGTGGAACATCCGTAAAAACGGAATAAAGTCGTCGTGGCCTAAAGGATAGGACGTCCGGCGCATTTGTGTTGAGCGATGCACCGGTGTTCGAATCCCGCAGGCGGGTACCAATTTTTCTAATGAAATACGTACTCAACAAATGTTCACGATTGACTTCCAGGGTGAAGGAATAACATCGTGTAATAAAAATCATACCCGCCAAATTATAATTTGCGTAATCACTGGTGGTAGGACCTCTTGTGAGTCCGCGCGGTTAGGTACCACCACCCTGCCTATTTCTGCCGTGAAGCAGTAATGCGTTTCGGTTTGAAGGGCGGGGTAGCCGTTGTAACTATACTGAGACCTTAGAACTTATATCTCAAGGTGGGTGGCGCATTTACGTTATAGATTTCTGTGGGCTCCGGTAACCACTTAACACCATGTGGGCTATGAGCTCGTCCACCCATCTAAGCAGAAAAAAAAACAATAAAAAAACACTAGCCCTAGCAAGTAATATTGCCCCATCGAATAGGAGACCAAGAGATCGTGACAGTTTACTTCATTAAACCATAACAAAAATAAAAGTTAAATTGTTTTGTTTTTATTTTTATTTCTCTGTTTATGACTACGACTTCCCTGATGTAAAGGAATAAACCTTTTACAGCACGTCCAACCACCAGCATAATGTTACGAGATCACGAATGAATAGAATGAAAACGAGTGTAGAAAGAACGGTTCGTTCATTTGTCAAGTGTTAATGACCCTGACAGTAGCCCTACTACGAAGTTCATATTCGATTCCGGTTCCGTGAGAGATATCCGGTGTTCGGATTCTAGGTACACTTGTTTTTTTTTTTTTTTGTATTGTGTTTCTGGCACCTGGGATACAGAAGCAAAACCCAACCCTGGGCCGCTTAATGTGAATTTTGATTGGTTTGACCATTATGAAGTTCTAGAAATAATTCTTCGTCTTATATCTCGAACACAACGATGACATTCTTCAAACGAAATTTCAGGATAATAATGCAAACTAGACAACGGGTGCCGTTGCTCTTGCTAGGGCTAGTGTCAGCAAATTCGCTAGGCTAGAAGAACTAGGCTTCGCTAGGCTAGGTTAGCAGCTAGTATAAACCATCGTATAACCTCGAGGTTATACGATATTACTAGCATATGTAGGCAAAAAAAAGGGTGACGATGACTTTGAATTAATCTTTAATTACCTACAGATCATCTGATCATATTCACCGCTGCTTTCTTTTTTCCTACCTCAGCTGATGCTCTTGAGACTATTTCAGCGTCACCGGGCGAATAGGGTAAGCTCACGGTGCTCAAACCTGTCGACGTTGCTAACACTAACTCCAGCAAGAGCAGTGCTTCGCAGAATCTACCAACGGATCGGAAACTGCGACTCACTTATGCCCGGTTCCAAAAAATAACGAATCGTCATTGTATTATAACAACTAATCGTAATCATGCTACCAATACGTAGCCGTATATTAGCGTTCCACAACTATTTTACTTGCCGCGTTACCTACGAGCATCCGTCGGCGCGCTGCTTACTAACGAATCCCTCTGCGTTTCGGTAATGCAAATGATTGTGTTACAAAGATCCTTTAGAAATAAAACTCTTTTCAAAATACATAAGTTTTTATTAGTATTTTTACATAAATATTTTAAAATAATATAAATTAATTGTAATTCATCACATATGTAATTTTATTTGAACATTCACAATTTAAAAACAGTTACTTTAGTTTTAACTGTAAAGTGAACAAAACGCCATGAAGAGACAAAGGAAACGCCAGATGTCGGCCGGACCGCGCCAAAATACCAAAAAAAACTGATAAATTGTAATGTAAGGGAGATATTCCATGATTCCTAGAATTAAAATAAACTAGTAAATACTATTTTCATGTAATCACTTGTTAAATAGTTAACTACTTCATAAAATACCAATTAACAGCTGGCATTAAAAATACGAGCCTGGTTCCTTTTACCTTTAAAAAAGGATAAATTTCACCTAACAGTAATTGCACAGACTGCTTGTCGAGCCGAAATCTTAGTTGAAACTCCTGATTATCGAGCTCTGAATAATAATTGATTCTTGTTTTATACACTCTATTACTTCGCGTATCATCACTTGAATCGTCGCTTGAATTCAGTAACATTAAAACTTCGTTATCACTTTCTGAACTCGACATTTTAAAAGAAAAAACACAAACACAAAAATTCCAAAGCACAACCGAACAAAATCGGTAGGTTAAAAAATGCTCTACGCGTGGTAGTTGTGACAGCTCACTGACATTTCTAAAATAATATAGGAACACTACAGACAACAGTCTCCATACAAAACGCAGTACGAACCGTTATGTTAGCCCTCCCATCCGTTAGTAGCAAGTCATCAGTAATTTTAAAAACGAGTCGTTTTTATAGGAACTATTTTGTCCTACGATTCGTAGATATTGTAACGGATCGTAATATAAAACGATTCGTTTTTTGGATATTGGAACCGGGCGTTAGAAGATCAAACAATGGGCTGTGTCTGTGGGTTAATTTACTTGCCAAGCCCTTCGAGAGCGATAACCGGTCACCGTTGCGGAGATCCATCCAGGAACACGGCAATTTCGAGACTAGCTCAAGCCGTTTCCTACAAACTTTCATCTTAGATAACCGCTAAAGGTCTTCATAAAATCACTTTTTTTAAGATTTCTGTTGGCTCGGAGGCCTTTCTAGTTTCACCAGGACAGATGGGCGAGCAAAGGCTCAGCCAGGAGGGGATAAAATCACTTGTGTCACGATTCGAGATAGACTTCCCCGAAACAAATTATTCATTTAAAAATATAAATATTTAAACGTTATGCCAATTTACGTACTCGGAAATGTCAATCAACATAATTAGCGCATGTATTTTAGTAAAAAACGGTCCTGTCCTAATTAATAGAGCTGATGAGTTAATATGAAGATGGGAAAAGTTTTTTCTTTAAAAATATGAAATTAAGATTTGAGCGTGTTGAGTAAGCTTCTTTTGCTTGCCTTGAAATATTAAAAGGCAGTTTCGTATCGATTGAATAACAGTTTATTTACCTTTAGCATCAAATAATCGTTTCTATGCAGCGATAGGCAAGGCGGTTACGCTGATGAGTAGTAGTTCTGCAGAAACCAGCGTCCCATAGAACGGTTTCAACGTCAACACACTAGATGACCAATTGCGATTACATATCTCACAAAACGAATACATCTTCAAAATTCAAAATTCAAAATCATTTATTTCAACTTAGATGTCAGTATGACACACTTGTTGAATGTCAAAATACAAATAACAATGTTAACTCTACCACCGGTTCCAAAAAAAGCCACAGTCCTGAGAAGAACCGGCGAAACAAACTCAGCGGGCTTTTTTTTTTGTTTTTGTTTTTTCTCAAATATTTTCTTTTTTTTAAATAATTAAAAATATTTACAACAAAAGAAAAAACAAATTACAATTAAAAAAATAATAATAATAATAATGAAAAATGAAAAGGCCAGGAGCGAGCGCCTTGTTTTTGTTATATCTATGTCTTATTATTAAAGAATCGGTATTAAGTATTTTAAAACGAGGAATATAGCAAAAGTGCACTTAAAAATTGAAACTATGTATCTTCGCAACCAAACAGATTCATTGCTCTTGAAATAATTTAACGATCTTTAAAATAAACACGTTCAAGTTTATTGTTAAGCCAACCAGATTGTTCACTGTAAAGTCAGTCAGTCGGTCTTTGTGAAGCACCGAATTGTTTTTAGATTTATTTGACGTTTTCTCGGTAAGCGAACAGAGTAATAGAAGTTATACGTAAACGTAATCGCTTTCGCGTATTTTCATCCCTATCCAGTAATAAGCCAGCTGGAACCATTTTCGTTCAACGTAAAGCATATTTCTCGTTAGTAATTGTATTCATGTCAAAACCTCAAAATGCCTTTTTTTATCGTTTATATGAGTGGACGAGCTCACAGCCCACCTGGTGTTAAGTGGTTACTGGAGTCCATAGACATCTACAACATAAATGCGCCACCCACCTTGAGATATTAGTTGTAAGGTTTCAGTATAGTTACAACGGCTGCCTCACCCTTCAAACCCAAACGCATTACTGCTTCACGGCAGAAATAGGCGGGGTGGTGGTACCTAACCGTGCGGACTCACAAGAGGTCCTACCACCAGTAACCAGTTTTATTTTACAATACTATAATAGGCGGGTGATCATACCGCGTACCTATACTATATATCAGTTACAATGATGTCGCTTGAGACGTGTAAGCGAAATGTTAATTGAATTATAAGAACGGCTACACTCCGAGTATAGCCGTTAGTATAACATGAAGGCTTGATCACCGCCATTAACCATTCCGAACTCGACCCAACACCAATACTCATTAATAGCTGGACAGATTGACGTCATCTGGACAATCACAATCGCCGTCTACACCAACGATATCTCTAGGTATTTTAGAGTACTCTCTTTTCCCCCGGTAAAATAATCACTTCTACTTTATAGTTACGAAATATCACATCTTCTTCTGAGTCGGTCTCTTCATTGCTGAAAGTCGGGTCTAGTTTGAAATGTTGACTTATGCATAATACTTCCCCTCGTCTTCCTGTCGTGCCCGATCTTTATAGCCTCGATTATTAGCAGGCCGTGGAGCGTCTTTACTAGATCAGACCATCGGGTAGGTGAGCGTTCGCGTGATCTTCTCCCGTCAACCTGACCAACTACCGTCAGCTTCTCTTAAGTTATCGGAGCCTCTACGAGCGATGTGACCGAAGTATCACATATAGCCTATTAATTGTAATCCTTATAGCATTGTAAATAATGAACGATTTTAGAAGTCTACTGTTTTTTTATTTTTTAGATAGGCGGACAAGCTCACAGTCCACCTGGTGTTTACCAAAGCCTATAAATATCAACAAAGCAAATGCCACCATTCACCTCGAGAAATCTACTCTAAGTCTCAGTATTATAAGCAAATGATGCCCACACCCTTCAAACCGAAATGCGTTTCTTGTTCACGGGAGAAATAAACAGTGTGGTGAGGACTCATAAGGCACCCTACTGCCTTCAAGACCATTCTTTTTTACTTTTCATTATCAGATTTTCTTCGTGTCACAAATTCCGCCACTTATATTCGTATATATAACTTTAAAACTGAACTGACGTCAAAAGCTAATTACACACCTTTATTGTTGTTTCATTCGCGCATAAACTGCTTTCTGTATCAGATCATAATGCATTAACGTCTCCTGGAATATGTTGTATTATAATCTTACTACAATGCGAACGAGGAAAATGTTTAATAACAATCGAATTTTCCTAGTATTTATATAAAACCAAACACTGGCATATGAATATAGATTTCGTTTTATTCAAACTTATATGTGTATTTTGAGTAGTTTTACCTCGGATTTTGATTTAATATTGATGTGGGTGATATTTTAAATCTCATAACGGATGAATAATAATAATAGTGTAAAACGCATTCCAAACTTATTGTGCTCCGTTTTTGAGTTGTATTTATTTTAATACCAAATGGGAACCTCACAAAGTAAATTTAATGTAGTCGGTTGCATCCAGATGGTTGGATCTAATCTATTTATATAAAAAATATACATAAATAATGTTGCATAAATAATACGTATTTACTGTCGTGTATTTTCAAGTATATTTTTTATTACAGAAAAAATATTTACTTTTGAAAGATTCTGCTTGAATAGCTCGAAGCAGAATTTATTTATTTTAACTATGAATGAAGATAAAGGACTAAAAGCTTTTAACTATTATAATATTTTTAACACTGTGTTAATTATTTAGGTAATGTATTAAATTACTGCCATTTATGTCAAATTCTGGTACACATTCCGAAAACGTTTCTAATCTATATATATAAAAGAAAGTCGTGTTAGTTACACTATTTATAACTCAGGAACGGCTGAACTGATTTGGCTGAAAATTGGTGGGGAGCTAACTTAAAACCAGGAGAAGGACATAGGACATTTTTTATCACGTTCCCGTGGGACGCGACATAAAACGTGGTATAGCAAAATGTAACTGATATGGAATAACAAAACGCAACTGACAGCTAAACGTAATATATTCTATGGTTAATTGTGTTAATTATAGTAGAATTTTGAAGTTGACTGGTTGATGTGTTTGAAACAAACCGTGTGGCGGAACAAAGTTCGCCGGGTCCACTAGTATATAATAAAAAAAGGAAGCTTTGAAAAACACGCATAGTTGAGTTGGTGAACTTTTTGTACATTTCGGCTATGGAATGAGCTCCCGTCCACGGTGTTTCCCGAGCGCTATGACATGTCCTTCTTCAAACGAGGCTTGTGGAGAGTATTAAGCGGTAGACAACGGCTTGGCTCTGCCCCTGGCATTGCTGAAGTCCATGGGCGACGGTAACGATTCACCATCAGGTGGGCCGTATGCTCGTGTGCCTACAAGGGCAATAAAAAAAAATCATTTTAATTTTATTATATGAGCTCCCGGTGATCTGGAGTGAATAGACATCACAAAAGAAATGTCGCTGTCCATTTTGAGACATGTTGAGGCATTTGAATGTTTCATGACATAAATTAGCGGATCGATTGAAAACGCCCCACCTCAGGACTCAGAGGAGTTAGTAGAAAAATAGCCTCACTTATCTACAAATGCCAAACATGGCAGTAGTTTTAATATTGGTAGAACTTCATTAATAGACGAACCGAAACCGGATGTTACCATAAACTCGGGTTATTTAAAGGAAGCGAGGTGTATCTGCAATGACAGGAACTCGAAAAGATTTACGAGAGAATTATTTCCTTGACGTCAGTTGCTGTAAAGTCACACGAACGTAAACGCGAAATGATTAATTTTGAAATATTGTAAGTGGCCGGGATGTATTTACGGTACTTCCCCGAGCGTCATGTGGTTATGGTGTTGCTATACCATTAATTGTAAACATAATTTTCGTATATGATGCATCCGCTTTTAGCGACCGATTAAATTTTCCAATATCAACTCATATACATTTGGAAATCGAGCGGTAGGCTTATACTTGCTTGTGTACCTGCTATTAATTTCGCGCATCTAGTTTTTCATGAGGTGCGTCATTGGCAAATCTTATCCGTGACGGGGCAACGCAAACCCGCCATCGCCAGAAACATGTCTTCTCGGATCCCCTGGACTCACCCGCAAAATTATAATTTGCGTAATTACTGGTGGTAGGACCTCTTGTGAGTTCGCGCGGTACCACCACCCTGCCTATTTGTAACTATACTTGAGACCTTAGAACTTATATCTCAAGGTGGGTGGCGCATTTACGTTCTAGATGTCTATGGGCTCCAGTAACCACTTAACATCAGGCGGGCTGTGAGCTCGTCCACCCATCTAAGAAATAAAAATAAATAAATAAACTCTCGGTGGTTTTAGGTCTCTCAAGCACCGGTCACCGTCCTCGTCGAACTTGTCGATTAAGACGAAGAGTTAGATGAGCGAA